GGGGGGACCAATCGGGGACCAATTGGGGACCAATTGGGGACCAATCGCGGACCAGTCAGGGACCAATCGCGGACCAATCAGGGACCAATCACGGACCAATCAAAGACCAATGTCATGGCCGACAGAAAACCAACATAAAGAGCACGCTCACGATTCTAAATTATCTAGCTCCTTTCGAGCGGTTTGCTTTTTGTTTTCAATTATCCACGAAAGGTCCTCTTCGAGTGCTTTGCTCCTTCTTCTGAAATTCTCTAGTTCCTTCCGAGCGGTTTGCTCCTTGTTTTGAATTTCACAAGTCTCTGTTGAATTTGTTTAGCCCCTTTCGAGCGGTTTGCTCCTTCTTCTGACATTCTCTGGTTCCTTTCGAGTTCCTTTCGAGCGGTTTGCTCCTTGTTTTCAAAAACCTCTACTCTTTTTCGAAATTCCCTCGTCGAGTTCGAACGGTTTGCCTCCTTCTTCGCAACATTCTCTGGTTCCTTTGGGGAGTTTGCTCCTTGTTTTTGAAGTTCTCGAACCTCTTTCGAAATTATCTTTTTCGGGCGGTTTGCTCTTGGTTCTGAAATTCTCTAGTTCCTTTCGAGCGGTTGGCCCCTTGTTTTGGTACGCTCTGGTCTCTTTCGAAATCCTCTAGCCTCTTTCGAGCGCTTTTTGTTTGTGTTTATCGAAATTTCTAAGCACCTTTGGAGCGGTTCTCTCGTTGCTTCCAAACTCTCTAATCTCATTGAAAAACTCTAGATTCTGTCGAGCAGTTTGCTCATTTTTCTCAAATCCTCTGGTTCCTTTCGAGCGATTTCTGCTCCTTGTTTTACAAACTCTCTAGACTCTTTCGAAATTCGATAGCCTATTTCGAGCGGCTTGCTCCTTCTTCTGAAATTATCTATCTAGTCTCTTTTGAGCGGTTTGCTCCTGCTTCTGAAATTCTTTGGTTCCTTTCGAGCGATTTGCTCCTTGTTCTGAAATTCTCGAGTTGTTCTGCTGTGGTTTGCTCCTTGTTTTCACATTCTGTGGCTATGTCGAAATTGTCTAATCTGGTTCAAGCGGTTTGCTCCTTGTTCTGAAATTTCTCTAGTTCCTTTCGAGCGGTGTGCTCCTTGTTTTCAACTTCTCTAATCTCTTTCGAAATGCTCTTGTCTCTTTCGAGCGGTTTGCTCATTATTCTGCAATTCTCCAGTTCCTTTCGAATTCCTTTCGAGCGGTTTGCTCCTTTTTGTCGAAATCTCTAATCTCGTTCGAGCGTTGTGCTCCTTGTTCTGAAATTCTCTAGTTACTTTCGAACGGCTTGCTCCTTGTTTTCAATTTCTCTAGTCTCTTTCCAAAATCCTTTGTCCCGTCAGCAGTTGTCTAGTTCCTTTCAGCGGCTTGCTGCTTGCTTTCATTTTTTCTAGTCTCTTTCGAGCGGTTTGCTCCCTCTTCTGAAATTCTCTAGTTCCTTCCAGCGGTTTGTTCCTTGTTTTCAAACTCTTTAGTGCTTTTGCCGCTGCGGCCGCTGCGCGCTGGCTTGGGTGCCATGGCCAACGACAGCGGGCTTAGTTTCCTTCTTAACAGTGTTTCTTATTGTTTCTGCTCCCACTGCTGCTGTTCCTCTGGGCTCCTCGCTGCTGGGTCGAACACTGCTGTCCCAAAAAAATCAAAAGCTGCAGGTCAAACATGCCTTCCTTTATTCACTTGCCGCCGAAGACGTGAATCTTTGACGTCACGCCACCAAGACTTGCAGCAACACGCCACGTATCTTTATCAAGACTGCGGGCAAAACCCTACCTGGCCACAACTACTACGTACATACTTATGTCCGTGACAAATTTTTATAAGTACTACGTCGGTTAACGTTGACTTCAAATTAACCCTTCCTCAAATACAAAACCCGACCCGCGGAACTCAATTATAAACCCACCCTCATTCACAAACCTTAGCAGCGAATTTGTTTTTTTGTGTTTGTTGTTTGTTGTCTTGTAATCCTTCAGAGCTAAGCCTTGATTCAGATGCAGGACAGCGGGAGAGGTTGCCATTATTGCGACAGTCTCAGTCTTGCAGAGAGAGAGAAATTTTGAGTACCACGACCATTGCGGTCTTGCAGAAAAAGACAAACTGCAGGTATCGCGACCGCTGCAGCATTGCAGAGACAGAGAAACTCAGAGACAGAGAAGCTGCAAGTACTGCGATCGCTTCAGCGTTGAAGAAATCGAGATTAATTGCAGGTACTGCGACCGTTTCCGCATTGCAGAGAGAAGCTGCAGGTACTACGACGGCTTCAACATTGCCGGATGACAGAAACTGCAACTACTACGACAGCTCCAGTATTGCAAAGAGAGAAACAGAGAGAGGGGCGCAAATTACTGCGGAAAGGACAACCAACTTTAGAAACCAAGCCCTTCATTGGGCAAGCTTTGCTTTACAAGCCACGGGATTCCGAAACGGCAGATTTAGAAGATCTCAGAAACCATACCTTCCTTAATGAAACTCGTCGTTGGGACAGCAATTTTCAATCCATCCTGATGAGTCCTAACAGAAGCCGTTCTTCCGAATTTTAAACCCCCGTGATTATGAAATCCTCCCGGGGCGGCCTTCTGCTGGTGCCTGCAAAAGCCGGCAAACGAAGGGCACACTTCAAAGCCATGCCCTTCATTGGAAAAGCTTTGATTTCAACTGGTTTTTCATATCAACATACTCTAGTTTCTATATATTGTCTTCGGAAAACAATTTTCACGATATTTCGTGAGGCAAACAAACCCCTACATCAACTCTCTCCATGTTTTCACAAGGACATCTTTACTTCCTCTATATTTTCATGGGATAACCTCTACTTGCCGGCAGTTTTATGAGCCAGGGGTCATGGAAGGCGCAGTAAACGCACTGATCCCATGATGCGCTTTCAAAAAAACCTGTGCTTTTAAGCAAGCTTGCACGGCTCCAAGGCGGGGGAAGGTTGAGGGGGGGCGCAGCCTCTAGCCACTTTGGAGCGTTCATGGCTTGGCTTGCAGGTAAATGGTTTAGGAGGGAGCCCCGTCATCCGTCGTCAGACCTCGGGCTTGTCCAGTTAGGCGGGCTGCGTGGGCGGGTCGGCCGGGTCGGGGAAAGGCCTTCCGAGGTCACAAAAAAGATGAAAAGGGGGTGACCCACGAGATCGGGATCGCGATGCGGGGTAAATCCAGGGGGTGAAAGGAAAGACATGGAGGGTCAGAAAAAAAGACATAAGGGGGTGGGAATGCAGACCGGAACCAAAATGGCCTGGCAGGGGAGGGGGGGGGCTGTTTCGAGGGTAGGGGTCAAAAAAACAAGACACTGGGGGTCAAAAAAAAGAGGTCCCCTCCCCGAATTGCAACATGACTCTGCCAGAGGCTGAAGCCGGGATCCCGGTGTCCTGGGCTCCACGAGCTCGCATTGGCACCATGGCTCAAGTCTTTAAGTTCACTGCGAGTCACTGCGACTTCGTCTACGTACTTGCTTTTGGCGCTTGGTCCGACGGAAATCCTTCGCTTGATGTGACGGTGTTCAGTATGGTAGTATAGTAACATGATACTCAAATCTGAGGATGCGCGGTGTGGTTGTCTAGGTCTGCGCGTCTATTGAGCCTATTGAAGCCCCCTTCAACGAATGAACAACCCGCGGAGGTCCGTGTGCGCCCAGCTTCCTGGGCGCGTGCAGCCACGCGCCCGGCTTCGTGGGGCTGCCAGTTCTGGAGCCCAAGCTGCGATTCTTTTTAAAGACACACGAGTCGTAGCAAGGAGAAATAGCTGCCATGTGTCTTTTGTGCTTGCAAGTCGACTCGATTGCAGTGCTCGAGCGCATGTCAAAGGGAGTTCTTCGCCCCACAAGCGTGCACCAAGCACTCGTGGAGCCTGGAGCTCTGTGACTGATGGGCCCAGGGTCCGGGCGACTTACGGCTGGTGTAGCACCGGTGTGAGACCCTATCGGCTGGTTTCTTGGAAGGAAGCATTCGCCCGTCACCGCGCAAAGAGGGTTTGAAGTGTCAGAAGGCCTCCATCAGCCGCAGAAAAACACAGCATCTGCACCCAACGAAGATGCTAAGGCTCCAGCTGGCAGCGCTGCCTGCCACCCTGAAAGGAAACAGGCTTCACACCCTCTCTTCACCAAACCCCTCCTCCCTGCGGCGCTGGAACAGCCGCTATGCCCACCAAACCCCTCCCTCCCCCTCCACTCTGCGGCGCTGGAACAGCCGCTGCACCAAACCCTTCCGCGGCGCTGGAACAGCCGCCACCCTCTCTTCACCAAACCCCTTTTTTGCGGCGCTGGAACAGCCGCTATGCCCACCAAACCCCTCCCTCCCCCTCCACTCTGCGGCGCTGGAACAGCCGCTGCCCACCAAACCCTTCCGCGGCGCTGGAACAGCCGCCACCCCTGCCACCCACCCGCGGCGCTGGAGCAGCCGCAACGCAATGCTCGGAAGGATGCGCATTGGGGCCTGCTCTTTCGACATGAATGATTCAGTGATTCAGGGGACACACTTTGCCAGCATAAGGTTGATGCCGTATCTCTGTTGAATCCTGACGATTTAGCGATCTACTCAGTCGACTGACCAGTCATTAGTAATTAGACTCATTCACTCATTCACCATTGAGTGCCCCCGTTTTCTTGATGCTTCCAGGGGGCAGCATACCCGAAATCCGAAAGGTTGACACGGTCTGGGACCCTAAAGGGCCAAAACTTGCGGAAGTTGAACGTCAACCTTCGATGGATCGGCACGTAGCCTCTTGTCGCCTTGGCCACTTTTGACTCTCACTGCGCCCGAATTCGATGCCCAAGCTGTCCAAAAGTCTGGTTTCGGGCTTAGTCTGGTGTGACAGCATCGCATGACGTGGAGACGAGCCTGTGGGCCTCGCGGCTCCATCTCTCGCACCTCGTGCCTTCACAGAACCGAGAGGAGACTCGACAGCTTCTCATGCGATAGCTTCTCTGCACTCTGGCCGCACTGACTGGCGCCACAGCAAGTTTTTGTCGGGTGAAACTTCCACACGAGGGGGTGGCCTCATGGCCTCATGGAGTTATTCTACAAGCAGAAGCGGCTCCTTCCCTGTCACGGCACGCGTACTGGCAGCTTCCTCGACATCTTCGTTCGATGGCGAACTTGATGGGCTGGGCTGGTAGAGGGGCGAGGAATCCGAAGAAGGCACCTCCTCTTCCGCGGATTGCGCGGTTCCGCGTGGTAGCTCGGGTCTTGCCTGCAAGGAAGGCTCGACCTCGCACTTGTCCAGTGGACAACACATCCTCACACGGAGCCAGCGAGCGATGCAGCTTGCGTGAAAGACGTGCATACAGGGCAGCCGCCTCACAAGCTCTCCCTGCATGGACTCGTAGCAAATCGCACAGGCCTCTTCCGAAAAGGCCTCCAACTCGAAGGGAACCAGCGATTGGAGGATCCGGGTAAGCTTGGGAGACGGATCCGGCTCGAGACGCTGTCCTGGCTCGTTGAGGTCCCAGGAGCGCAGATAGCTCTGGGAGCCGAAGCGTTGCCCCCGGCCGCGCACCGAGGGCCGCAAGGCCGCCGCGGTGGGCGCCGCGGTGGGCGCGGCCTTGCTGGAAGCCTTCGCGCAGTGCTGCAGGCCCAATCGGAGCCCCTCCGAAGTGGCCACAGCCACACCAGGGTGCAACCGCGAATAGGCTGGCCTTGGCAGAATCGGCAGAAGCGGAGGTGGCGGTGGGAGCGGCATCGGCAGTGGCTTCGGCTTCGGGACGGCTCTTTCTGCGATGTTTGCAGAAGAGCCCAGAAAACTCGCGGGCGCAACCTCGACCAGCGGCTCCAGGCCGTCACCTGGAAAGCCTTTGCGCTGCTCCGGTTCCCAGGCTTCTTGAATCTGCGGCCAAGCGCAGATCTCGCCAGTGCGCCTTCGCTTGCTCTCGGCGCTCATGTGCCATCGAGAGAAACTCCAACGGATAATGTGATTGTAACCGCCTGCTGTGATTGTATCAGCTCCGCTGGGGCGCCCGTGCAAGCTATGACATCGATTGCTAGGCTGCTGCCGTAGTCTGCTACAGGTTGACACGGATTGAATACCATGTGTCTGATTCCAGTGTTCAGCGGTGTTCCGCGTAAGCTCAGGCACCACCCACGTGCAAGGTACAAAGTCAAAGATGCTGCAAGACGTGCAAAAAAGAAGCAGAGGCGGCTCCCTTTAAACGCACCAATGGCTCGATATGGGCTTAAAATGCCGAGTCTCCGAGCATCCATCCGAGTATCCTCTGTACTCAACTCGAATTCCTTGCAGATTTTTATAGACCCAAACTCTTCGACGGCCACGAAAGCAAGGAAACACCAACTGTTGAGTGTCATGCCACACCTATCCTGCTGAATTGAAGTAATTAAGATCAATCATACTGCCGCCAGACGAGGCCCAGGAACAAAAAACAGGCATGCGCATGCAGTCCAATTCGCCGGCCTTGCGTGCCAGCACATTCATGTGCCACAGCGTTCAGTCGCTCGCGCCCTGGAACCCAGTAACATGTGTTGCTGCAGTGTCGACCTGTTTCCTCTGCCCATGCTCTGCAGCAGGGTCTGGAAACCGAAACGCCCAAACCAAACGCAGTTAAGGCCAAGCGTCTAGTGTGTCTACCGCCTCACCCGCCGAGCAAGCTCAAGCCACAACCACTAGTTGCCGGTCGACTGGCGAGTGCGTGCGGGCAGTGAATGGAGAGTGACGAGTGGAGCCTCTAGTCAGCAGCATGGCAAGCAGCAGCAGCTTCCATGGTCAGCACCTTACCAGACATGCAGCTACGCACTGCAACAGCCTGCACACATGCTGGCCCCAAGCAAAGCAGGACGCGCAAACAGACTATTGAATCGTCGATCGCCAAATACGTTTTCGTCCGAAGGACCAGCATCCCAGCTTCCCATGCCGAGGGGCTGTGTTTCAAGTCCTGATCCTTCATCAAAGCCTTCAGCTCTGTTGGGACAAATTCTGACCGGTCCTTCATCTCCGCCTCCTGACAGGATCCGGAGTTGGAGGTGATGCACATGAAGATGGCTGGACCTTTTCACTGGTGCCTCTGAGATAATGTAGCACTGCATGATGGTGTCGCAGCTGAGCGAGTTCAGGTTCAGGAATAATCGGCCCGTGACGAAACCCAGAAGGACGTACGTGAGGATGTTCAGGATCGGACCTCAGTTCATGCAGCCGAGACCAGACGCAGGCGGCTGTCGTCTTTGCTCAGGGCAGCACTGATCTCAGGATAAAACGCCTGCATAACGAAATATCCTTGGCTGGAAACACACAGAGACACATAGATTCGACATAGATGCATATATATATATATGCGTCTGTATATATATATATATATATGTACGTACGTACGTACGTACGTACGTACGTACGTACGTATGTATGTATGTCTGTACGTCAATGCGTTGTATGTATGGCTTCAGCTGTTTCGAAGATGAAACACGAAAACTAGCTGCAAGCAGCACTGCAGCGGGGCAATTAGCATGGCCGTTGTTTGCCGAGGCTCCTGTGATTGCCGTTGCAGTGCACGTGAAAGCCGTTCCTGCGTTCAAGGTCCAGGATTGAAGTTGCCGGGTGCTTCAGCCCTCTGAGTGCGCGAGGAGGCCGGTGGCCTACACCACGAATCAGCGCACCCAGCATAGAGAGGGCACCGAAACGGATGATGTTCCGCAAGATCAGCTCGAAGGCCTTCCTGGCCTGCTGCCGATCGCAATGTCGTGACACGGCTGCTTTTGCTTCCATTGCCATCTCAGCAGCAGAAGTACAGAAGTTCGTGCCGTTCAACGCAATCTGGATGTAGGCGTTCCTCCGAGCGCCAGGCTGCAGTCACAGAACCGGAAGGCAGAACACGGCCGAAACATCCGTGCGCGTCAAGCGTCTTGTTGAGAAACTTGATGAGCTTCCTCGGCTTGGAACTAGAAGAACTTCAAAGGAAAATTACAAATCTCTCCTCTCTCGGCAGGTGCCCGCTAAACACGCCAAAGTCTCTCGAAGCACCAGATGCAGCAGGCCAGAACGCAAAAGATCAAGCGCAGGACCCGATTCTTGCTGGCCTTCGCTTGCTCTGAGAGGAAGCCTCGCAGCGAGACCAAAAGGGTGTCATTTCTACGATTGTTCATGCTTCCCAGAATGTTGGTCTACTGCTACTCCGCAAGCACAGTGTTGACGACCTTGCAAAAGGACTATGCAACCAAAGCGCGCATGAACCACTTCAGCCACTGCACCTCGCAGCATGCGCCCATGTCCTTCTTAACAGAAACAAGGAGCCCTGAAGAACTGTATCCAATGGCCAAGCCAAGACACAATGGCCAGGATGAGGGAGCCGAAGGCCAAACTTCCCAAGTGCCTCGAGGCAAAACTCTCCTCTCTGGCGCTCCTTCAAGGCCAGCCGAGCGACCAGAAGACAGCGTTCGTGAACGCGGGACAGAACACAAACGTCGAGGCCTTTCGACGGCCACAGCGAGAACGAGCATCTCACATCATCCCAAACCCGCCCGCCTCGCCTTTTCCTCGTGCCTGGCAAAGAACCAGGCCCCGGCAGCACCCGCGATGAGGCCTCGGACCGAACGCTCGAAGCTCCTCAAGACTCCTCAAGACTCCTCAAGTGCTCAAGGCTCACTGCCACTTCCTGAAGTAGCCTGCTTTCCTGCAAAGGGGCACTGGCAGACGGCGTCGAGCAGGGCTTTGTGCCACAGCAACGCAAATAGGGCCTGGCAAAGAGTCCACGCGAGTGGGGAAGAAGGCTCCAGCGTTGAAGCTCAGCTTCTTGGCAGAGTTCGGCAAGAACCCCATGAAAGAATTTGAGAGAATGCCACCTCACTCCTGCCGGTATACATCTTCACATTCAACCACAACGAATTCATGAAAGTCCATCAGCAGTTCGCAGCACGATTGCGCGCACTTCCAAGAGCCAACAAGTGCCAGGCAGGCATACCAAAACTGCCAGCCCATCGTGTATCGCGGCGCTGCACATCGCCAGCCTTGGGCTACCATGCTCGTCGAGTTGTGCAGCTGGCTTGCGGCCATTCGCCAGAGAGAAGGCCGCCAAGGATCAGAGAGGGACGGAGGTCACGTTGTCCGGAACGCACGTTGCCACATCCTCATATGCAAAACCTGCAGGGGTGGGATAGCTAATGTGGGCGCTGGACGCTTCACGCTGGTTCTGAGGGTTGACTGCCGTCTTCACATGTGTGCCAGCCCTCTGGGACCGAAGCGCCTGGCGGCACCATGTTCGTGCAGGCACCCGGCGTGGTGGCATTTCCAGCAGCCTCCAGTTCTGTGGCATAGGCCTCCGCCGCAGCGGCGCAGCGTAGGTTTGGTCGATTCCAAATGCTTAAACAGTTTAAAGCTTGGCTGTTTAAGCGCATGTTTAAACACCACGGCTCCTGTCCACAGATATCTCTATGGTTTAAATTTAAACTTAAGCTTTGGGCATTTACAAGGCGTAAATACCGTAAACCTTTCAACAGTTCAGCTCACCTGAGAGAGCTGCTGAAAACCTACAAGCCCAAAACCCCATTGCAAGAAGACCTCAAGCTTCCTGCCAAATCTCTGTAAAGGTTTAAACAACCTTGCCTAGAACCAGTTGACATGTTTAGTGGTTTGAAACCAGTGAGAGACAGACAGAGACGGACAGAGGCGGACGGAGACGGACACAAACAGACAGAGACAAACAGAGACACGGAGTCATGGAGAGAGTTCGAGAGGGAGAAACAGTCAGAGAGACAGACAGAGAGCCAGACTCAGATTGACAGACACAGACAAACATACGTAAACAGGGACGGAAGGAATTAACATAATGACGCTCAACATACATACTATTGCACTAGACATATATTCTTTGCCGCGTTCTGGAACATGCATGAGCATGCGTCATTTTCTGGGTACAGTACAGTTCAGCAGTTTTTGGTCGAGCAAATCTCTCAGATCATTGGATTTGCAGCAGTTCATTCGTTGTTCCATTCACTCTCTCATCCGTTACACTCCGCCTGGTCGGGCACGTAGTCCGCAGGGACACCGACGACGATCAGCGCGGTGCAGATGACCCACACCTTCAAGCACTGTGAGCATAGTAAGGCATGACGAGTTGCAGTTGCGGGCATGGAAGGCTGCTGCTGGCGAACGACTTGGAGCCGCACTGCAAGCCAGGCCACCACTAGCAAGAACTGGCAAAGCGGAACACATATCCTGAGTCCGAGCTTCCAAACCACACCTTTTTTCGCGCGATCTCTTGCGCACTTCCTTGCCCATGTCGGGTAGTGTTCATGTCTCCGCAAGGGAGGATCTAGGCATGGACGCACCAGCTTGCATTGGTCGGAATCTGGTTACCTCTTCCAGGCCGACTTCACTTCTTACATGCCGCCTGGTGCCAGACAGAGCTCAGTCACAAAATCTCACTGACAGATGCGACAAGATGAGGCATTCGAAGCCCCATGACAATGCCACGAATGGCACGGAAGTAAGTCAAAAGGCGGATGTCCACACATTTCGAATCGGCATCATGCTGTCAGCTCCGCATAAGATACTGATGTACGTTGCAGTGGGTTTCAAGATATTGGCATGACACGAGCGCAATGAATGTTGAAAGAGTAACATCCAGCGTTGCTAAGCAGCTTTTTCAAGTGGTCCAAGCAGACTTGTTCAATTTCAATTTTGTTCGACTGAACTGCCAAAATCGCGGACACAAAAACCCACCTCGCACACCCAAACCAGCAAGACCCCATGAGCCGACAGTTAGATCGGGCCCCTTAAACCCATTTTATCAAGTCTCTCGGTAACAGCAGGGATCCACACAGGTGCACAAGCCCCCTACACCACATGGTACCGCGTCGTCAGATGCAGTGTCATGTCTGCATCATTCTGGGAATGGGCGCGCGGTCTGGGGCCTGAGGCCAGTATTTGCCAAATTTGTGCCTGTTCGCCTTGCCCCCTACACAACTGACCAGCTTGCATAATAAACACAAACCCGAAACCCAAATGAAACCTATGTTCATGTCCCCGATGTCTACAGGAAAAATCCTGTAGCCATGGGCCGAAGCATGTTTCTGGAACCAGCCCGGAATTGACTAGAACCATCGCACATTGCAACTGGAATCACAGGGCCCACCACAGAAACCAGCCCGAGACGTTCGAAGCCCCATAATTCAAGAATTACTGTGGACACTCGAAACCCCATCAACAAGTCAGCTATATCTTCCCAGGGACATCTGCGGGTGATGCACAACGAACTTCGCCGACACCTCATTGACGGCCTCAGAACAGGAGAGTCGCGCCGCGCGGCCGCCGCCCATCCGTGGCATCTGGAGCCAAGCGCTCTAAGCACAGGGCGATGGCCAGCTGGATTCGCTTACCTCATATCTCCGCTACACAGGGCTGTCCACTGGGACTGTCCACTACGAAACCTGCCATCCCAAACTTGCAAGCAAGCCGCGTAGGCACACTACCAGCAATAACCAGACTGCAGCGAAGCCAAGTAAAGTGTAACCTCGATTCGAGTGCTTCCCTTGGAGCCTCGCGGTCTCAAAGCTCGGACGTACTTCGGCCAAGGAGCCGACAACTTGCAAGACAGTGCGCAGAGTCTCGTTCTGCAGCACATAGCCACCCAAGTCCTGCATCGAAAAGTCCGCGGTCATCGCAGGTTGCGCGAATTCATCTCACTCTCCTCGCATCCGTTTGAAGAAGAGGAGTTGGAGAGGCCTCTGACACGGGTCTTGGGCAGAAGATGGGAACAGCAATTCAAAAATACAAACCGAGATTTCGACCGAAAGCGCCTGCAATGTCGGTGACGGTGATGTTCAGAGCGCCGACGACGTCGGCGACTCCCTGCTTCGCGGGCTCCAGAAGCCCGGCCTTCGCGTTGCTTGAGGCGCGCGCGTTTGAAAGCAGCGACAGTTTGCGACTTCCCTCCGGTCCCTCCGTCTCCGTCTCTCTCGAGCTGCGCCTCTTGGCACTTCACGGCGTAGAGGACGGCCAGCACGCCAGCAGCAATGAAGCCAGCCCAGATCAAGAAAACCGAGATCCACACCTCGGGGTGTACCAAGATTCACCATGTCCCACGCTTGCAAGCACCTCTCTGCTTCCACGGAGAGAAGCCGAAAAGAGAAAGGGCCCGCCGACGTCACAGAGTCACCCCTCTCCGCTCCCGTAAAGCTGTGCAGGCGGCAACTGGCTTCGCGAAGAAGCGGACAAGAGTGAGGTAGAGGACGCCTCATCCAAAAGCGAAAGAAGACGCGGCGTCAACAGCGCAGAGATGCAAACTCCAGACTGGATCCTCTAGTGAACTGCCGGGATGCCGAAAACCAGGGCACCGAAGGCGACCACGGCAAAGGCATCCCAGGTCACCATCAGTGAGCCGGCTGACTCGCCAGGTGCAAAAGGGTGATGGTTTGGGGAGCGATAGGGCACCATGGAAGCTTCGCACTGTTTACCGGTTGAAGAACTCAGAAGATGAGTTTAATGCGTGTGCTTTGCTTCGGCGGTCTCCTGCTGGACGTCTTGAAGGACGCCTTGCGTGATGTTGAGGGAGGCCAAGGCATCCAACTGCTGGGTTAGCCTCGGCTGAACAGAGGTCAGCTGAGTAGCCGAGAGAAAGCAAAGCCGGCAAGGCACACCTGGCCAACCTCGGAAACCAGGGCGGAGTCCAAGGCTGGCAAGCAGATGCCATCGAGCCCTTCTTCCAGGCCTCGGACCACGAAAAAACTTCGCGCCTCCCTCCCTCTCCCTCGTTTCAGGTCGTTTCAGGGCAAGCCACTCACGCCGGGAAACGGCACCTGAGCGCAGCTTCCGGAGCCCTTGCTTGCCCCTGTCTCAAGGTCTGCTGCGCCAAGGCGCACAATAGCGCGCATCGTAGGAGCACTGCTCCGAGCTCCACGCTGGGAATTCCAACCTCCAGCCCCAGAACGGCTGCCCTTCCCCGAGAAGCCAACAAGCGCTGCCCTTCTTGTAACCTCTTTACGGTAACCCGTAGCCCTACACAGGCCTATATATATATAGTATAATATATGTACATATTTTTTTTTGTACGTATGACCTCCACGATTCGCTTCTCTTCCCCACCTGAGCCCCGCAGCTGCTCCGGAGGCGGCAAAGCGCTGCCAGGCAGCGGCCCAGGAAGCCTCAGACGGAGAACTTTCCCAAGCTGGCATCCGAAATAAGAGTGAAGACCATAGTCTTACTAATCGTCTAATGTTCTTATCATCATATGCATGCTCTCCATGACGAAGAAGCGGCTGGAACTGGAACCATAAAGTGATTTAGAGCGATGGACTTCCCTAATTAGGGACATCACCGCGATCCTCCTTTGCTTAGCCGGCCATCTCCATGATCGCTTCTGATAATTTCCGAGAGGAAAGCCGAATGCTTTCTTGGCCAAGTTTCCCCTGGTGGGGCGCTATAGGAAAACGTGCGATTCCTCGGCCAAACCGCCCACAACAAGAGACCGCGAGAAGGCCGGAAGCCGATCCTGAGCCTTGCACGTACTTGCTTGGCAGGAGCTGGCACATACCTGCAAGTTCTTTCGAAGCCGGAAACATGGAGTTGTTCATAGGAAACTTAAAAGTTAGCAAGGCCCAGATGCCGGCGTAAGGTAGCTGCTGGCCTGGCTCAGCACCTCACGCGAGATGCTCAGAGAAGGTGCAAGTGCCTTCACTCTGCAGCCTGGCGACAGTGGTCGGTGTTGGGAAGATGCCGTTGCCAGCGAGCTGGCTTAGCGCTTTCGAGGGATCCTTGGCATTGTTGCTCTGCACGCACCCTTAAATTCTTTACCTGCGCTCGGGCCCTGGAAATCCGGTGTTGAAGCGGCCTTGGCCTAGTGGGTCACTGGTGCGCAGACGCGCGCACACACACACACGCACGTACGCCCCAGTCTCAGCTTGCTGCTCGCAGGTAAAGTCAGCATGAAATGCAAAGCGGGCTCAAGTGAGCCAAGGCACGGCAAGGCTGCTCTGCAAAGCCGTCAAGGCATCGGAGGCCACAGAAAACGAAGAGCCTCAGAGAGTCCAAGCAGGTGACCACTTGTGCGGGGGTCCCCTGTGCAACTGAACTCCTCTTTAACCAAACGAGGCTACACGTCAGCCTTCGGCTTCAGCCCGATGTGCCTCCGTCACAATACTGCGCGAGCTCGGGCGGATCCAGCATGTCACGACCCGCGGAGCATAGCATCTCGGCAGAAGATCGAAAAGACTCAACCGTTGGCCGCTCGTTTGGAAGAGTCTGGAAACAACGGGTCTTCGACAGCACGACGGCGGTCTCAAGGTCCAAGGTGCCTCCAGGGCCATCTTGTCGAACGTCTCCTCAAACAATGCCGTATTGTAGGAGATTCAGTGGCTCAGATGATGCAACAGGCGCTCCGAAGGGCTCATAGTGAAAGACAACTTCGGGAACGCCACGACGCTGGCGCCGACGCTTGGGCCTGCCAGCGGTGACTTTTCTGGTGGGCCGCTCTTCCGCCTTCCGCTCTTGGAACTGAACCTTCGAGAGCCTCCATCTGAAAGGCCGCAGAACGCGCCCCGGAAGTCTCGAGGTAAGTAGAGCTGCTGAACATTGCCTGTTGGGTGGTGATATATAGGTTCACATGCCGCTCGAAATATGTTTTCCCTCCCGCCTGGCTAGGACGAACCTACGATGCAGGGTCTATCATCTCGAAAAATTGTTCTTACAAGCCAGGCAGAATCCACAAAAAGCCATAGTGCAAATTATAGACACGACCGCCAACAGCATCAACTTGATGCTGCAACGTTCGTGCTCGCTACCAGATTCTAAAACTTGCACATTCAGACATGGACGCGCACAGCATCCTCGTCTTGAAGATACTGAAACGTTCGTCTTTGCTTGCTGGATGACACCAAACATTCGTGCTTGCTACCATTCGATATCTTGCACATCGCAGCATCTCGGTCCGTCTCAAACAGTCGTCCCCAACCTTTGCCTTCCTGCCCCCGCCAGGCCCATACGCCCGTAGTCAATCTGCCTTTTTGTGCCGGTATTCGCAGCATTTGTTTCTCGTCCGTCTGGCCCTGGCCTTTTTGGGTGAGCCTTTTCGATAAATAGACTCTCAAGTCTGCATGTTGTGCCGGGGCACAACGTCTCGAAGACTTGACTTTCGCTCCCATCTGTCGGTCTTCTCCGGCCTCCCCCGCCCACTCCGACGGCCGAGTCTGTCTGTGCCGCAGCCAGGCCGAATGGACAAACACTCCACTCCCATTTTGTCAATTCACGGTCTTGCGGCCTCCCCCAAAAAACTGGCCCAGCTCGCTACTCGGCTCTACTACGGCACCGGCTTCGTTGACTGCGAGAAGGGCTAACTTGCAGAGTGGAGAGAGAATGCGGAGTCAAGCAGTTCTGCAGGCCTTGTTGGAAGCCTTGTGACACAAGGAACCAAAAGAAAGCTGCGTGTCCAAGAAAAAGGCAGCAGCACGGCACGTCCTTAGTTCCAAAGCTCAAGCGTCTGGCAGGGGCTCCGGGCTCAGTTTACTTAAGCACAGCTCTCCGCTCAGGGCCACGACTCCGTGCAGTGTCTGTTCGCTATCGGCCCATGTTGCAGGGCTCGCTGTGAGTTGCCACCGCCTTTGCGCAGAAAGGCGCACAGTAAAGGCAGCATCAGGACAGCATCCAGCCTTCTGGCTGCGGCTTGAGAGGCAGCATGCCATCTCAGCCCCGCGGCGCGAAATCTAACACATGCCGCTGCCTTCTCACATCTGAGTGAGGTAAGGACTGCTCATCGTAAACTTTGAGCAGCAATTGTTTGGCCTACCGTGTCGCTTCCCGGCAAGCCACTGCCGGGTCATGCCTGTGTAGGGCCTACATGGCAGGACTGGCCCATCAGACAGCCGAATGCTGCGGCAAAGGTTTCATCGCCCGGCTTCGCAGATTTGGCGAAGTAAGCATCATGGCAAGGCTTCACAATCTTCTCAGCAGCAAACATACTTGTACCTTGCCCCTGCCTCTTCGTCGACTGTGCAGTGAGATCCCTCGCCTGGCGTCGGGGGTCAAGAGCGCAAACTCGCCCCAGTGCAGCTGAGAACTTGTGCTGCAGCGCTTTTCCAATTGGCCCAGGTAAAGCCTACAATAATGGTGCTCCCGCTTTGGAGAGCTTCACAAGGGGCTCCACGGGCGCTGGTTGGGAGCTGTTTCGCTCGACCGGTGAAACAAGCGAGCCCCACTGACCCCCAGCAGGTCACATCATCGTGGGCGCTGCGCAGTCCTCACGCGGAAGCCATCGCCACAGCGTTTCTCGTCGTGGCCTTCACAAGGCTCAGCTACGCACGGATCTCGCGACTTCAACCTTGCCGTCCCATCTCCTCTCAGCGGCTGCAGGCGCTGCCACGGCCACGCAGCAAGCCGGCCAGAGCTGTCACCAACAAGAACGACGGCCTGTCACAGCGACGAGCAAGCGTTCGTTGTGGCAGAGAGCTAAGAAGCTGTCTTGCTCGCTTCGTAGCTTTCAATTGCTTAGGCCTCCGAGGCGTCCTCCCCAGCTGAAGGCGGCATGAAGCACATGCCTCAGGCTCCGGGAGCTATGGGGCCGGGCCCGGGGGATATTAGATGGTCGGGGCACACCGCGCCGCGATGCAGGAGGTCGGAAGCTTCAGGTTCCGGGACCTCAGGTCGAGAGGGAAGCAAGGAGAAGGCGGAATGAACACGGCGAGGATTCATGACAAAACTAACAACACTCAGGAAGAACGGGAATGGGCAGAGAAGCGCAGAAGAAGAAGATCGAGCCAGAACCCTGTCAAGGATATGCTCACCGCGCAGCTGGAACTGGCCCGTGTCCATGTCCCAGGAGACTACTCTGTAGCACTCCTTGGAAGCAAGAAGAAGCCCCATGCACGCAGCCCGCCCATTGCATTGCACTTCGAGGCAGAAGGCGTTGAGGGATAGTGAAAGGCAAGGGACCGCTGAGACCAAGCTCTGCTCCTGATGCCCACAGGAGCAGAAGCCTTTCGGCGCCTAGGCCTCGCCTCGAAAGGTTCCATACGCAGAGTGCGTTCTCTGCCGCGCTCGTCCTCCAAGCTAAGGGAAACGAAGGCCAGAGCAGAAACCGCCCCGCCCTCGTAGCGGTGGAGAGCACACCTCGGAGCCCGGAGCGCAGCCTTTAGACCTTTTCCGCCAGGCGCCTGCTTGCAAGGAAAGCTTTCGGATTGCAGCGGAGAGAGAGACAAGGTGCTCGATCTCGACGTCCCACAACGTGACTCTTCCATTCGCCTTGCAGGTACAGAGGGAAGTGGGGCAGGGCAGCAGGCATGTCTGGAAAGGATGCTGCTGCTAAATAGTATCCCTGGCAGTCGTTAGCCATTGGACATCCGCCTCACCGGCGGCGACCAATCCCAGGAACGGCGACACCGCAATGGCCAGCACGTTGCTGGAGCAGTCGATGGTTTTCCGAGCATTCGACGTCTCGATGTCCCACACCGTGACCTTCACAGAGCCCAAGCCTGACTGCCCCTCACTCTCCCCAGGAAAGTGAACTTCCCCAATCGCCATCAAGAGACACAAAGTCAAAGAGAAGTACCCCTTAACGAACCCCCCCTGGGAAGGCAAGGCCGGGCCAAGGCCTTGAAGGCCGAATCTCCAGTGACCACGGCTCTGCCCATGGTCCCATTCTCACTCGCCGGGATGAGCTTCGGCAAGATCCTTGTGAGGCAAAGGAGCCATCTAAAAGGGAGCCGCTGGAAGCCTTTCACCGGCATCATGATCACCATCATGGTCATCACCCTCATCATGACCTTCGCTAGTGCGCTCGCGCTGATGATTGACTATGACCCTCTCGTGGGTCTACAATCTGTCCCCATCTGACTGATGCCGTGGAGCTCTCCGTTGTTGAGGTGCGGGATGTCGCGGATGTAAGGAGCTATAAACCAATATGCAATCGAGTGTACCTGTGAAGCAGGGGCCATCATTTTCTACCTAGGGCTCTGCTCGGACCCTCGACTTAGCCCCGTGCCGTGGCTTTGCACCAGAGCACGGCAAGCTGAAGCCCTGAGACACGTGCTACAGAATGTCCCTGTTCGGTCTGGCTTTCGGCGCACCCTAGGGTTTCGATCCACCACGCCTCGCGTCAGATCCCACAGTATGATCGTGCCGTTCTCCTCCCCGGTAACGACAGCCTGAAGGTAACCACGGCCGACACCAATCTTGGGAAAGAAGTTGCATGTCCATGCAGCCTCCACCGCAACACTAAGCCCCTAATTGAGGTAGCTGATGGCTTCATGTATATGGTGTGCTCTGGTGTCGGATCAATTCCTTGCTGCCTGTTGCTGAATTTTACATGCAGTAGCAGTACCTCATGGCTGTCAGCACGGGCCTTGATGGCTTCAGCATAGTCAATGCAAGCAACGGCGCTTCCACAGCCTCGCACGGGCTTTGCGCGGGAAGTAATCGCGAAGATCAGCCTCCTGTACGAAGCTCAGCTGGCAGCTTAGCTCCCTCGTTGCCTCGGAAGAGCTTCGCGGCTGCCGTTGCAAATCCACATGCGGGCCGCTCTTATTAATAGGCTTGTGCAGCTTTTTGTTAAGCTTCTGCAAGATTGGTTGGCCATTCGACTGGAGCCGTGACCTGGAACAACGGCAATATCAGATGTCTGAGATCGAGGCCGCACCACTGGTCACATCCCACACAGTTACTGTGCCATCCTCGGCCCACACAGATGCTCCGTTATACCAGGTGAACTTGTACTGGCTCGCACACTTGCTCTGCGTGGCTCACAACGGGTGCCCGATCACTTCTGTCTT